GGGTTATTAGTCGAACCCAAGCACCAAAACCTGTGACGTCAAGCGCCAAAAATCAAGTTTCTGCAAAATTTCAACGAGGTAAGACGTGTTTCTAGCATTGAATTCTTTTCCCACGTACTCAACTGCCTTTTGCGAAATTTCTTTATTGTCTTGCGAAGCATTGTAAATTGTGTTCGCTCCCTGTTAAAAAAAATGAAGACGATTATTTCATTGATCGTATTATTACCTGATTTTAATTAGGGCCTAGGCCTACATTTTTTCCCTTGCATCCGTTCGCTTAGCTACACGTGGTCTTAGAGACATAGGTATAAATTCCACTTATTGTTTTGATAATCCGACTCTTTTTTGTCAGAGTTAAATGTTTTGTTTTTTGTGTGTATTTCATAACGAGCATCATAACGCCAACGACAATGCCAAAAACAAAGTGTGATTCAACGCCTATACCAAGAAGACGCGCCAAGCGCAACGATGGCGCTCCGCCATCTCGGTCAAGGTCAACCTGGAACCAGGGGAAGCAGGAGCCAGCCGTCTTTAAGTTTATCTAAATGAGCAGTTGCAAAGGCTTCAGAAGATGTACATAGCAAATAACCTAAGCCAGCAGATTTAGACCAACCCCCCAATGCCCATAGAGCCACTGGAAACTCCCAATGGCCACACGGGAACAGAGTCAAGGTATAGAAACCGTTTTTGATAATTGACAATAATTACTCTGCATTGACACTAAGCTACATAATTACCATAAAATGTTAACCCCCCAAAAAAAATTGTTAGTTGAAAGTTCATATGGGGTCAATCCAAATGATCAGACTAGGTATATCTCCATGAAAGAGGGTAGCCTCACCCTGGCCCCAAAAAATAAAGCAAAGGTAATTGACGACATTCAAGAATGGACGGATGTTTTTTTCTCATTGACACATCCATATATGCCTCAGCCCATCCCAAGAGCAAAGTTCAGTTGTTTAAATATATTCATACATGGGTACTATTATGTTAGGGGCAAGTAAAGTATCTCTCTCATTTGCAGTTGTCGATTTTGAGCTATGACTCTTGTGTATAGTTATATTTAATATATATATAGTGCCCCTAGCACACATATTTCCACACCTCACGCCCTCCTCCTTAAGTTTTGTGAATTCAATTACAAGGGCATATGTAAAAACTTGTATGTAAATACAAGCATGAATGTTATGTTCATATAACCATCCCTACATTAAACACAAGACATCCCCTGGCTCTAGTTTGAATTTTAGGTCAACTGGTCTGCAAGCAACATGGCGGCCTCAGCTTCCAGGGAGACCTACAGCACTGAGTTAAGCTATTAGAGCACCTTATACCCAACCAGCTAGACCTCGGTAATACTGCAGCAAGCCCTATTAATGTACTAGATTAGGCAAAATATTAGCATATTACCCACTTGGCTTGGTACCCTTAGAACTTTTGCGGTTTTTTTACATATGGTTTGAGGTTATGTTACCAAGGGTCTTGAGCGGCCATTGACTGTAATAATTTTAAATCCATGTCTGGGTTACAGTATGAATCTGTTCAGTTGGTCGTTAATGAAATCATGTTAGGCAGAGTAGCAGGTACATGTGATCAGCCCCCTCTACTGAACCTTGGGTAGTCTCCAGTGGGCATGGTACAAAAGAAAGGGGGGTTAAAATTCTTATATATTGATTCATCACTTGTTTTACCTACCAGGGTCTAGCGTCAATGATTTTATTAGTAAGGAGCATTGCTCAGTTACTTGCTCATCATTTGGTGATGCATTAGACATGCTTGCAAAATTAGGTCCAGGCATAAAAATTGCTAGATTAGACACAAACATGCATTTAGCTTATTGATGATTCACAGAGCAGATTATGAATTATGAGACTTTAAATTCAGTGTATGATATTTGTAGGTACGTGCTTGCCTTTTGGATTTTCTATTTAAGCTGTTCCAAGTTTGAGAATTTTTCTACCTTTTTAAAATGGGTACCTAAGCAGCAGGCCAAAAGCAACAATATGGTTCATTTTTTAGATGTTTTCTTGGTAGCAGGAAGGGAGGACAGCTAAGATTGTGTTAGATTTATACATGTAAATGTCTGTTTTTAGTTCCATTTGTCATGCTCATGAAAAACTGTGGGTCCTACAAACATTTGACTTTTGGGGGTTAGACATTAACACTCAAGAAATGATAATTTGCATACCATCAGACAAATTGGGGCAGCTTAGGGACCAGTTAACTTATATATTATTCAAAAAGAATTTTGACACAGAAGAGTGGCCTCACCATTACAATTTATTAGTCATTTTTGTCTCCTACCTATCGTATAAGCAGTACTCCCCAAACACGGTTAAGTCGTACATAGACTGTTGAGGGTCTATGTATTTACATTGACATAAAGTCTTCATTTTCTTGGTCTTTTTATTTTACCAAATATTGATTATTGCCATAAATCCCACTATTGGAGGACATAAACATGAGTAAGTTAATTATCAATTTTAATATCGACCCCCTTTTTTCCTCCCGACTGCCCTACTGGTGGCACAGCCAATACTCGAAGCATTGGCTCGTGGCGGATATTTGGCTCACCAGTAGTGCCTAACCTATAATCTTAATATATGATTTGGTGCACAATTGATTGAATTTTGCAGTTATTGTCCAAGCAGGCGAGCATCTGTTCCCAGGGCTCACCATTCATGCTTGTTTATTTGTGGGGACGCCACCAAGGCAAGAATTGATGCTAGGCTCCCTTATCTGTTTAATGCAGCCGTGGCCTATATCGCCAATAAATATAAATGATTAAATAGAGTATTTTGTTAAATTTAGTATAAAGGCCCAAGGTAAGGGCATCTTTTGATAATATGATTTAACCACTTAAGGTTAAATTCATTTATCAAAGTGCCATTAAACTTTTTCGAACTGCGGCTTTTGGAGGTATCATTCTGGTCCTGGACTTGTATTTAGTGCCACCCTGTTCTCAGGGTTTTGGGGTTATTAGTCGAACCCAAGCACCAAAACCTGTGACGTCAAGCGCAAAAAATCAAGTTTCTGCAATATTTCACCCCCCACCCCCCCAACCTCATCCCTTAATAAATGTCATATGTTAACGGAAATTATCTGCTGCTTTCTCGTGTTTAGTTCTGTTTTCTTTTCCAGATAATATAAGGCCTTAATCCATACCCGCATCAAGGACCTGCCCAAATCGTCACGGCTGAAATTGGACCCTACCTTGAGGAACATAATGCCCAAGCAGATATTTGGCTCACCAGTAGTGCCTAACCTATAATCTTAATATATGACTTGGTGCACAATTGATTGAATTTTGCAATTATTGTCCAAGCAGGCGAGCATTTGTTCCCAGGACTCACCATTCATGCTTGTTTATTTTTGGGGACGCCACCAAGGCAAGACTTGATGCTGGGCTCCCTTATTTGTTTATTTGTGGGGACGCCACCAAGGCAAGAATTGATGCTGGGCTCCCTTATTTGTTTAATGAAGCCGTGGCCTATATCGCCAATAAATATAAATGATTAAATAGAAGTACTTTGTTATCTTCAGTATAAAGGCCCAAGGTAAGGACATCTTTTGAGAAAAGAAATGTAATGAATACTGTGTGCTAAATCAAAAGTTTATGTCTACATGTATAGTTTTTGCATTAGAATGACTGTGTATTTTACACTAGCTTATAGCTTTACAAAGCATATTTTTAGGTCTTATACTTACCTCACCCCCTTTCTTATTTAGGAGGAAGTCGATATTGAACAGAAGCAAAAAAAAAAAAAAAAACACCCTACCTTTATTTTTCTATAAGAAGGAATTAAAAATAAGCTTAAAATAATCTACTATTCTACTAATTTTTAACTCTTACTTTGCCACAATACTTTGAAGTATACCCCCACCAACATTTGAAGTATACCCCCACCAACATTTGAAGTATGCTTTAATCATGGCGAAGTAAATTATGATACGATAGTACTTGTGTGAAGGCTTAACTTCATTTCAATATTTTATCTAGAGCCTCTTTCAGAATTATTGAAAGGTATAGAGTTTTATTTATATTTTTGCTTTTCATTTATTAATTTTTTTTTGTTTTGATTTAACGTAATGTTTTCTTTTTTTTTGGGGGGGGGGGGTCAAAATTTCCTCCTCTTTCATTGTCAAATAGGATTTGCCAAACTTAAACAAGCTAAAAGTTGAAATGACGGAAAATTTAATTTTTCCTATTAAAGAGTATTTAAACTTGATTTTTGCACGGTTTGATTTCTAAAAACAAGTGGAATATCATTCTTTAAGCAAACATTATAAGCAGGAATATTAAAAAGAAATTTTATTTACTTGACAATTAAAGAATCTTTTTCAAACACAATTTTAGCATTGAAAGACTACGTGAATCTCTTAATTATTTCATACGACTTTTGTATTTTTCAGGTTACATAAAATGTAAAAATTAGTTTCGCTGTAAAAAAGATATCAAAGATTGTTTATTTTGTTACACTTTAAAGGGGGTTATTTTTCAATGGGGGTCATTATTTTATAGGACTAACATATAAAATAATGACCCCCTATGACTCTTTTTCTACAAAAAATATGATTTTTTTTTCTACGGGTGGGGGTCATTTTTTGTCTTTGAAAAATGACCCCCCGGTCATTATTCGATGGGGGTCATTATTCGTTTTTACAGCGGCATAAAGTATTCCTACGTTGTACAGAATTAATCGATTGTATGGAGGCCTCAAAGAGAAATCATTTTAATATTTTTAAAAGTTTGTAATTCGAATTTAAAAGATTACAAGTTCTTTTTTTCTTAATTTATTAATGTGTAAACTCATGACTTTTTACCTACAATTTTTTTAAATTTTTTTTTCTTTTTATTCAATTCGTGAGTACAAAGGCATGAGTTTACACGAGGCCTGAGTTTACACGATAAATTCTAAGAATAATAATAATAATAATAATAAAAATTTTTAGAAATTTTTAAAAAGTAAATAAAAAAAACATTTAATCCTCTAATAATGTAAAATGTTTATCTAGTCTATGTTATGATTTGATTTAAACACTTAGTTATGTTACATGTATGATTAATTCAACATCATATAATCAAGTAAATTAATTGTTTCAAATGCAAAAATCTTCACATTTATACATGCAAGCGGTAAGGAAGAGTTACTCCCTATCTTAAATCTATTTTCTTTGATAAAATAGATAATAAGTGATTTATATTAAGTCAAGTTTTCCCTTACATTTATTGCATCTTTCTCCAATATATCCATCCTTGCATCCATTTGTACAAACTCCGGTAATATGATTGCAAATCTCATCATTGAAACACTTCTGGCTGCAACGTCCCTTGCATTGCGTCCCGAAGTATCCAGAGTTGCATTCTATGGACATTTCAGAGGATTCAAATAGTTTTTATTTTCATCTTTATGATACATGTATAACTACCTTTTCTACACATTACCTTAAATATCTATATCAATTAGATGTACCTTCGTTACATAAATTCCCTGTATATCCCGGTTTACACCCTGCGTCACAGTGTCCAGTTTGTTTGTTACAGAAGGCATCATCACGACAATGACCACTGCAGTTATATATACAACCCGGACCGTAGTTTCCATCTTTACATGCTGTTGATAATAAAGTACACAACAAATTTTATCAAATTTTGTTTTATCGATGAAGAATAAGTATTTTAATGTTGTTTCATACTTCGATATTTTACTTGAAAAAGACGTCAATGGTAATCGAACAACCAAGCTCTGAGTTTAAGTGATGACTATAACTTTTCTATCGTCAACTCTCCTTCACTGCATTTTGAATTTATATTTTTCAGTTGATTCTATACGTATGAGCAATTTCTAAAACGAGGTTAGTTATTGACAATCAAGTTGATGGGAAAAGAATATCAATGTCGTTTGAAGTCATCATTTCATAAGTCCTATGATCGATTCGATGAACTTGCTAGCAAATACAATTTATCATTGAATTAAATGCTGAGTAAGGTTTTTCATAATAATTGTGAGTCCACTAATTTTTTTTCCGTATTTTTCTGTTATTTCCCGATCATGACAAGGAACACTCGGTCAACAGGGGATGTTCACTCCTCCATGGCACCTGATCCAACCTATGATGTTTAGGAAGTCCGTGTTTACTCTGCTTCTATTTTGTTCTTGAATTCTGTTCGTTATCTCCATGTTTCATTGTAAAAAAAGATTTAAAATGAATCCATTCATGTAAATAATTTGTGTTTTTTCTTGAATTAGAAAGCTATGTTTCTCAGTTATAGAAATAGAAAGTTAACTTCTGTAATTAGGAAAAACACCAAAAAATTGGAAATGAGTCGTCACTTGTTTAAATTTTGGGAAACAATAAAATATTCATAGTTCTAAAAATTATATTTACCTTTTTCACATTGAATTCCCATCCATCCATCAGCACATCCATCGTCACAACGACCATTCACGTGATTACATGTCTCCTTGTTTTTACAATGCCCAGAACATCTTTGTTTACAACCAAGACCATACCATCCTCCCCCACACTCTATAAAAAAAAAATATCTAATTTAGAAATTTGATGTTGAAGAATATTTTTTTTTTTGCATAAAATATAATTTCCAGAACATCAAATCAAGAAACTGTTAGTACTTATTCTCTTTATAAACTTTATTATATGATATAATTTGATACTATTTCTGCAAAATTGTCCTGTCCATCCTGGCGTACATCTCGGGCATGTTCCATTTATAATGTTACAAACTTTATTCTCACAATTCACTGGACATTTTTTAGCACAATTTCTTCCATATGAGGTTTTATTACAGCCTGGTGAAAAAAAATAAATTCAAAGTTAATGCATAGCTTAAAAAACGGATTTTCCCATAATTTACTTGTAAGGTTATTATTTTACAGTTTACAATTATATGAAAGATTATTAGAAAAAAAAGTTTTTAAAAAATCGTTTGAAAGTTTGATAAAATAAAAAATAATTGCCACAATACAGAGTCTGGAAAATATGTGAAGAAAGAGAAAAATAAAGAAATAAAAAAAAACTTCAATAAGCGCAAGTAAAAAAGTAAAGTAAAGTAAATTGACAAAAAATGATATGTAATTTTTTGTTTAATAAAAAGAATCATTAAACAAATTGATTGAATAATGGGATTGATTTTTTAAAGTTATCTAACACAGTATACTGTTTAAAGTAAAAATTATAACAGTTTTAAATATAAATATTGTTTCATATATAATTATATAACTTAAATAATATGTTGTAAAATGTTAGCATGTCTTTTATATTAGATGAAAGTTGAATATCCTTGTTCATGATGTGAAGTATGTAACTCTATTCACATGTACCTATATTTCCAAATACATGTATTAGAATATTCGTGCCTACATGTATGTCGTGCAATGGGCTTTTATAGTATTTTTAATTTAAAATACAGCAAAAGTTATATATAAAAATTCAAAATTAAAGGATGAAGGCAATAAAATGCTTATAAGGAACCTTCCACTATCACTTCGCACAACTCTGTGTATGACTGCATTTCGTATCCTTCCGGATAATCAATATCATTCAATCGTTCATTGTAGAATATGGCATAACGTCCGTATCCGGTACAAGTTGTCCTGAAATTCAACGGAGGTAACTTTGGTCCGTTTTTGTAACAAAGGGAATCATTGATTCTATTTGTAGACGCTGATAAATAGAGAGAAAACCCTGCAAAGCGGCCTCTTTGTCGAGCTTCTGATAAAGAAAAAAAAACAGGCTACATTAGGCCATCTTAAAAATACATATAGTAATTGTTTGTTTTCTCCAGACTAAGGGCAAAAAGAAAATATGGTCCGACGGTGGTTAATTTTTTTTCTTTGACATTGAATGTAAAAATACATGTTGAAGGGATCAGGAAATCAAGGAATATAAGGGCTAAAATATCATTTCCCAGAGTTTGAAAAAGTTTTGAGTTAAGGTATTTTTAGACATTAGAGCAAAGAAACTTTTTTTTGAAATGGCCTTATCATAAATGTTTTTTTTTAATTTTTTTTTTACACAAAACCTACTAATAAACGAGAATGAAAAGATTTTTCTGCTATTCATTAGTCTTTACATGTACCAAGAAATTTCAATTTCCCAAATTTAAAGACAAGGAATTTTTAATATTGAAAAGAAAATATTTTAGAATTTTCTCTCACATTATGGAAATCAATTTTGCTTTAATGTTTCAAGAAAACTTATTGCTACAACATTACATACTAGTATGATAAAATTATGTATTTTAGAGAAATATATAGTTGTTTAACTGAACAGGTAGCATCTTTTCAGTGAGAGGCTGTCCATTTCAGGCAAAAATGTAGATGAATTTGAAAGGAAGGAAATGTCTGTTTTTAACTGAAGTGACATTGAAATCGATGAATTAAATACTTTTGTTTAGTTTGCTTAACGTCCGTCTCAAGATTTTTTTTCACTCATATCGAGACACCATCAACCGATAGTGGACCTCAAATTTAGTTCCATTCTCGGTTGAGCAGTAACGGATCTTTATCGTGCAAGCACCTACTGAGACAGTAGACTTACATGGTAGATTTAAACAGTCTCATCAGTGCCCGCGCGATGCTGTGGTTAGAGCGTCTGTTCTATAGTCGCAGAGTAAGGAAATGTTTTAGCATTGCACGTTCGAATCCACCGCCGGACGAGGATACCAGCCCTTCGGATGAGACCTTGAAAACAGAGCCCCTGTGTTACAGTAGGTTTTGACACGAAAAACATCCATCGCTGCTTAAGTGTCTTGAAAACCAAAGAAATGTATATAGCAGCCTTTTACTGGCAACTGGTGGCGACTCCATATTTTTATTCCATTAAATTTCTCGAGAGGGACGTTAATATAATACATGTTATATAATACATATTATAACAGCGAAAAAAAAAACAGTCTCACCCCCCCCCCCCCCCCCCCCCCGTCCGGCAAGGACTTTATCCGCGACTCTATAGCAAACGCTCTAATTTCTGCATTACGCAAACGATGTGAAGATACTGTTCAAATACAGATCTATACATACAATTGCAGTAGAAAAGCCTTTTAAATTTTAGTCAGTTCAGCAAATATCTTTAAATCTATTATTGTTTACAGAAGCAGAAAACGAAATATTCCCGTATATGTACGCTGAAGTTCAAACAAAATTATATTCCCTGCCAGATTTAAAACTCATTTTACGATTTCTATTGAAATTTTTGCAAATATAATCTTTTTATCCATTACATCTTTGTACATGTATATACAGGTTAGACATATACATGTAAGCAAATATACTTTGAATATTTAATTTTAAACTATAACCAGTTTAACCAGGCGTTTAAGGGGGCCGACTATAGTTTTCATTGCGCAATATTTCGCGCATCATAGTAAAATGAAGCGTATTTACCGTTTTAATGCAACTTTTTTCGCTTAATTATTAAAATTAAACAAAATTAAGAAATTATAGGCATAAAAATGTAATTTCAATTTGATATAACTGATTTTTTAACCGATTTGGAATTGATAGGTAGGTTGACGTCGTTGCACTGTGTTTTTGACGTTATGATAATCTGTAGCTCTTAAAGAAAGGGATAATAAAATATTGTTAAAAAAAAGTAATAAACATACGCTCTTGAAATTTAAAACATAGAGATTTGAGAATATCTCTAATATTTTGTTAATGTTTACACGTGAATCCTTTGTGTACGCCATATTTTGTAATACTCTATAAAAAATAGTAAATTTGCTAATTTTTTGCATTTTGAGATGCCCCCTCTGGTAACAAGACGGTAGAATTTTGTGTTTCTTACATATATTGTATAATATAGTATTACACATGAATAATTATAGTTTGAACAAAATGTCTATTGTAGTATTTGTATAATTTGCTTTAAAGTGCTAAAAATTGGCATTTTCCTATATAATCCTATAATAAATGTACCTGTATTTTGAGACGGTCCCTCAAAAATACATGGACGGTAGATATCCCCAAACCTTTGCATGTACACTGAAGTTAATGTAACTTATATATGGTATGAAAATGAAGAGTTTTGCTATTGTAGTTTTCACACAATAAAACTATAGTCGGCCCCCTTAAGAGCTATTAAATTAGACAGTAAGTAAATTACTTACATCACTCAGATTTATCTATTTCTTTAATGATGACATAGCAGGTGATACATAAGTTTCTTGGAAATTTCATGTTTTTATAAACTTATAGCTTTTTTTAAACAATGTATTTGCAAAGACCTTAAAATTGCCACGTTTTGATTTTAAAAATCTAAATCATATCTCACCGAAGCCAGCGTAGTTTTTAAATATAATGCTGATGCTGTAAACACTGTAGATATCGCCCAAATCTACTCTCCACCACACTGCCTTATCACCTGTGCTGTCTCCACCAATTACCTTGCTTCCAGTACATGTTCTTTCGTCTCTATCCACTGCATTACTTGAGATGTAAAAGTTTTTACATGCAGGAACATAGCATGGTCTTGTTAAAGACTGGTCTGTTTGTTTATTTGTAGATAAGTCCACTTCAAAAAGACATTTGTATAAAAAATATGCGCTATAGCGTAAAAAAACATAAAACATGAAAAAAAATATGATTATCTTACACATTTCATATTTATTTTATATATTTGCTAATACATGTAATCATCAATAACAGCTGCTGTTCCTCTCTATTGCAAACGAACAAAATATTCCTAGATTTCGGTTAAGTGCTCATATTTCGGCAGATAGAGATTATGCAGCTATGAATCTGGTGAAATAGTTTTTGCAAGACGACAGAAAAGAATCTTTAACTTTACTTGAATTATTTTCAGTGTAATAGAAGTTTAATATGCAAAAACACAAAGCAATTTTGTTGTTGAATTCCAGATCTGTCATATTTTAAATGTTTTTAATCTCCAACAATAATTTGAGGTAACATTTAAGATTTTCCACTCATAGATTTCTCTTCTCCTATGATCCATGTAAAATAAAAATTGTTTTGGATCATGGTTACTATGGAAACCTGGTCAAAGTAATTTCCTTAGCAACCAGCCAATTTTTCCATGTGAGGGCACTGAAAATCACTGATATTCAAAGCCTGAAATTATATATAAAAAACTTTAACAATACGAGGGGTGATCAAAAAGTGCGCAAACTAATTGAATAACTTCCATACAAGAAACAATATTTGGTTTTAATGTTGATTATATTTGAATTAATCCTCCCCGATTTTAATGCACATCAACCACCGTTCTGCGCAAGCGCGAATCACGTGATATTGGCTATTATATATATATATATATATATTTTATATATATGTATTTTTTCGAATTTTTGTTGATTCAGCATTTTCCTGGATTTTGACAATAATCAAGGTCAATTAAAAAAAATGCCAATCTAATACAGATTTCGCACGATTTTTACATAAAAGTGGAGAACTTTCTCTTTTAGAGATTGACTTTGAAAGCGTGAGTTTTTATCTCTACTGGTCAGAGACCAGAAGAGCTTATGCGATAGTAATGCGCCCGTCGTCCGTCCGACTGTCTGCCTGTCTTTAAACATTTTTTTTCAAAATGCTACTACTCCTACAGTTTTGGTCTGATTTTAATATAACTTGGCACACAAGTAGACTACACTAAGATAAATAATTCTGTGTATCAGTTTTTGATTTCTATTAACGGTGTTGCAGTGGTTACTAAAATTAGAAATTTTTGTGAAAATCAATCAAAATGCTACTCCTCCTACAGATTTGGTTTGATTTCAATATTACTTGGCAAACAAGTAGACTACACTAAGATACATAATTCTGTTCATTGGTTTTTGATTTCGATGAATGGTGTTGCCGTGGTTACTAAAAATAAAAAAAAATTTCTGTGAAATTCATCCAAAATGCTACTCCTACTACAGTTTTGGTCTGATTTTATTACAACTTGGCACACAAGTAGACTACACTCAGATATACATTTCTATACATCGGTTTTTGATTTCGATGAACGGTGTTGCCGTGGTTACTAAAAATAGAAATTTCTGGGAAATACATTTAAAATGCTACTCCTTCTACAGTTTTGGTCTGATTTCAATATAACTGGTACACAAGTAGACTACACTAAGATACATAATTTGGTTTTTCTCATTATTCTATTTATTGCTTTTGTAAAGTTTTATGTCCCAACTGTTAGTTTTTTTCTCTCTTTATTATAAGTACAAACCAGTAGAGCTACAGTCTCGACAGAGACTTCTGGTTTGAAAAATCCTACTCGTTAAAAATGGTAAAGGGTTGGGTAAAAAATCTTATGATCCTCAGCAATGAAGGATAACTCCAAAAATTAATATTTATTTTGAAATGCATCCAAATGAAGCTTGAAAATGATTTTTTTTCATACAACAATTTTCACTTTATTCATCTTTATAAGATTCAAAGATTTTGGAAGTCTTACAAAAGGTCTTATAAAAGATGACATTACTTTTGTACCCTATAAAAGGAAAAAAAAATAGTTTTAGAGAAATAAGATTTTCTTGAATCCAGCCTTAGATACCAATGCTCATTAGCATGATATGAAATAAGAAATGATTTTGGTGTCTTTGCAATGATAGCAAAAGCCTTTTACACTATGCATTATAGAATACATGACAAAAATTGAGAACAAAAAATACCGAATAAGTATAAAAATCATGACAATTTCTCTTAATGCCTGGATACCAATCATTTTTTACCAAAAACATATTTGTTGATCAATTTGCAGTTACAAAATGCATTGCTGATATTCCAATTCGCTTTTTCTGCAAAAATATCGGAGATTTCACAATTTTCCCTATATAATGTGATTAACTTTAATCTTTAACTTTAAGGAATTACTGTGGATAAATTTACATAACTTTGTGGATTCAGAGATACTTTGATTATTTAACTACTAATTTTATAAATCTGAGGATCGCACTACCTCAATTTTAAAACGAAATAGTTGTTAATAATTTTTAATCTCTATGGAAACAGCAAATTTTCCTAAGCAACAAAGCAAAAACAGTTATCTTTTCCCCTTTTTGAAATGAGATTTTCCGTAAAAAGGCTTTCTGAATGAAAAATAAAAAACAAATAGATACAAGTAGTATGTATCAAAATATCTCTATTGTTGTAAAGATTCCCTAGAATAATAACTTTTTCTTGGATTGCCATAGTAATAAGTGGCACATTGGCCAGAAAACAAATTTTTTGTTTCTAAAATACTCAACAGCTGTACTTGGTCCCTGGTTTTTGCATATGGGCAAAACTAACTGATTAAACGAGTAGCTTTAGCATTCGTGTTTCTACAAAAAGTATATTTTTATCATTACCATGGATATAATATCGTAAATAAATTCAGCTAAGGTACTATTCTATATGAAATATTAAGGCTCTCATAAAGCTTTGCTTAATTTTACAGGCAAGAAACTCTAAGAATTTTTGAGAATTTTTCACTATTATAGAGACACCACCAGTTGCCGGCGGTGAGCTGTCATTTTTTTCTATACTCGGCACTTACGGCCCTTTCAAGAGCATTGATTGATCTTTTTCGTGCCAGCACCTTTTGTGACATGGGACCTCGGTTTATACCGTCTCATCTGAAAGACCGGTCTCCACGTCCCACAGTGGGATTAGAACCCGCGACGCAAAGATCAACTTCTTACTTTGCGACTCTATCTAAAGATGACGCTCTAACATGCACTGCGCCACGCGAGCGACTGAAATGGAAGAAGACATTACCATATAACTGTTTTCTAGTACCTATAAACCATTCTTTTAAAAAGAGAGGCGAGTTAGCACTGTAGCAATCATAAACACAGAAGTAGATATCATAAGCATTGGAACTTGAATTTGTTGAATAGATAAATTATTAATAAGAAGGCATGGTGGTGTACTGGCCTAGTGAAGAGTGGGTCTTAATTCAGAATAATGAATTATAGAGTGGACTTGACAATGACACAACTCAATTATTATGCTTTAAGCATTCTGTAGTTTACTGTTATTATACCCCACGAAAACCAAGTTTTGGGGGGTATATAGGAATCAGCTTGTCCGTCTGTCCGTCCGTCCGTCTGTCGAGCTGTCCGTCTTTAGGTGCAAATATGTCCGGTCAATATGTTTTTTACATGTACAGAACATTAGAATCTACTACTTCACACAAAAATTGCTTATGACTTAAGGGTGTGTCATGACCTTGACCCAAGATCAATTTCATAATTTGTGTCCGGTCCATATCTTTCCTAATGATAAACTTGGTAAGTTCCCATTTCACACAAAAATTGCTCATGACCTAAGGGTGTGTCATGATCTGACCCAAGGTCATCTGTGCAAGCTGAAGGTCACTGAAAGAAAAATTTTATAATTCATGTTTAGTCATATCTTTATTATGGAAGAACTTGAATCTACTACTTAACAGAGAGATGGCTTATGACCCGAGAATGGGTTATGACCTTGAGCCAAGGTCATTTAAGTTCAAGGTCACTGAAAGAAAAAATATATTTCGTTTGCTGTCCATATCTTGCTTATGGATAAACTTGGTAAGTTCTTATTTCACATAAACATTCCTCATGACCTTAGGATGTGTCATGAACTTGATGTATCTGTGCAAGTACAAGGTCATTGAAAGAAAAAGTTCAAAATTAATGTTTAGTATATATCTTTCTTATGGAGAAACTTTGTTAGTTCCTGTTTTATACAAAGATTGCTTATATCTTAAGCTTGTTGGTCTGTCATGACCTTGACCAAAGATCATTTGTACAAGTTTAAGGTAACTGAAAGGAAAAAAGATCATAATTTGTGCCTGGTCCATATCTTTCTTATTGAGAAACTTGGAGTGTTCCTCATTAACACAAAGATTGCTGATGACTTGAGGGTGTTACATGACTTTGACACAAGGTCATTTGTGCGAGTTCAAGGACACAGACAGAAAAAATCACAATTTATGTCTGGGCCATATCTGTCTAATAGATAAATGCGGTGAGTTCCTATTTTACACAAAAAATGCTTATGATCTGAGGTTGTGTCATGACTTTGAATCAAGGTCATTTATGCAAGTTCATGGTCACTGACAGAAAGAGATCATAATTTGTGTCAGGTCTGCATCTTTAGTCTTTATTATTTGTTTTATTAGGCTGCACCTTCGTTTTATTCATGAAAAAATATTTATGTTATTAGCAATTGCATTTGCACTAAAAATGTTTTTGCATTTCTTTCTCAAATTCATAAGATATTCATGATTTGACACCTCTGAAAAAAAACTCAGCGGCGGTATTTAGTCCGTTTTGGAAAGTTCTAGTTTCAATCTTGGGTGAAAAATAAGAGAACAATAGAACAAATGGACACTAAGTTTTAAATATTCCAGTGCTGTACCATTTTGTCCTTGCATCTTCTTGGGTCTTTCCGGCAAGATCAAAAAATATCCTAAGTAATAATTCTGAGCTTGTCAGAATGATCAAGTGAGATAGTAAAAGCTAGGTATGACTTTGGCATTATAATATCTAAGACTTGAATCAAAACGCTGAAGATAATTTATGTAGAAGAATATCTAATAATATCTAAGTAACTGTTACTTTCTCTTGCGCGGATCTGGGGGGGGGGGGGGTCCAAACAAACCCTGGAATTTGCAGAGCTACTAAATTTATATACAAAATCAA